CTATGATCGCATTTTGCGTCATTTCTTTTGGCCAGGATTGAAGAGCGATGTCGTGCGCTATTGTAATTCGTGTCACTTTTGTCAAGTATCTGGAAAGCCAAATCAGATGATTCCTCCTGCTCCTTTGTATCCCATCCCAGCCATCACTGAACCATTTGAGAGAGTATTGGTTGACTGTGTGGGTCCGTTGCCTCGAACCAAAGCGGGGAATAAGTTCTTAGTAACGGTGATGTGCACCTCTACTCGTTTTCCAGAGGTTTTTCCGGTGCGTAAAATAACTACGCCCGTAGTGGTTAAAGCATTGACAAAGTTTTTTTCATTGTTTGGTTTACCTCGGGTTGTGCAGACTGACCAGGGGTCTAATTTCATGTCTAGAGTTTTTGCACAGGTTTTACGTCAATTGGACATAAAGCACCGTCATTCCAGCGCTTATCACCCAGAGAGTCAGGGCGCACTCGAGCGTTTCCATCAAACTTTAAAAACAATGCTTCGCACCTACTGTTTGGAGTTTGGAAAAGACTGGGATGAAGGTGTACATTTACAAATGTTTGCTATTCGGGAGGTGGTTCAGGAATCTCTGGGGTTTAGCCCGTCAGACTTGGTTTTTGCTCACACTGTTCGCGGCCCTTTAAGGCTGTTGAAAGAGAAGTGGTTGTGTGACAAATCTGACCTGAATTTGTTAGGCTATGTTAGTAATTTCCGGCTGAAGTTGAATCGTGCGTGTGAGATTGCTAAAGAGAATCTTAAAACTGCACAGGCTAAAATGAAGTCCTTGTTTGACAGAAGGGCTGTTTTGAGAGTTTTTCAGCCTGGGGAGAAAGTGTTAGCGTTACTTCCGGTTCCTGGTTCCAGCTTGCAAGCGCGCTATAGTGGGCCTTATACAATCACGAGAAAGGTTGGTGATCGTGATTACCTGATCTCTACTCCTGATCGGAGGCGCACTTCACGCTTATGTCATGTGAACATGCTGAAGCCGTACGTCGAACGTGCGTTTGCTCTGCATAAATCTATCAGTTGTGTTTCCAGTGAACGAGATGACGCAGATGTCGGGGCGGCTGCGGATGTGCGGGAGGAGCTGTCCGGTGCTGAACCTGAAGATGACGTTTTCTCCCCGGCTGTTACTGAAGGGAGGGTTCCAAATTCAGCGGTTTTGGGGAACTTGCCTCTCTTGTTGTCCCACCTTGATTTTTCCAAGCAGGCTGATGTGGTTCATTTGATCCAGTCTCATAGGTCTCTGTTTGCAGATATTCCCACTCAGACTCGTGTGCTCAGCCATGACATTGATGTTGGTGATTCCAAGCCAATTAAACAACACCCGTACAGAGTGAACCCAGACAAACGGCGCCGTTTGCAGACGCAGGTGCAGTACATGGTGGAACATGGACTTGCTGTTGCCAACAGTAGTGCGTGGAGTTCACCATGCCTCCTGACTGTTAAAGCCAATGGGGAGGACCGTTTTTGTACGGACTTCAGGAAGGTAAATGGGGTGACTAGGCCGGATTGCTATCCACTCCCTCGTATGGAGGATTGTGTGGACCATGTGGGGGCTGCCCAGTTTGTTACGAAGCTGGATCTGCTAAAGGGGTACTGGCAGGTGCCCTTAACGGCGAGAGCCCAGGAAATTTCCGCCTTTGTCACACCCGATGATTTCCTTCAGTACACCGTGATGGCTTTTGGGATGCGTAACGCCCCAGCGACGTTTCAACGGCTAATGAATGTTGTTTTGTCGGGTTTGTCATTCTGTGAGGCTTATTTGGATGACGTGGTCATTTGTTCTGCTACCTGGACTGAGGACGTTGATCATTTAAAAACTGTTTTTACGCGTCTGAGTGAGGCTAATTTGACGGTTAATCTTTCTAAATGCCAATTCGGCCACGCGACGGTGACCTATCTTGGAAAAAGGGTGGGGGGAGGTCAGGTGCGCCCCGTTGAGGCTAAAGTAGAGGCTATTCTTTCTGTCCCACTGCCCACCACTCGCCGCTATCTAGCGATGGTTGGCTACTACAGGGGGGTTTGTAAAAACTTTTCCTCTGTGGCTGCCCCGTTAACAGACCTACTTAGCCCTAAAGTGGCTTTTATTTGGTCTGATCGGTGTCAATCTGCTTTTGAGCAGACTAAGCATTTGCTGGTTAATGCTCCTGTGTTGTCTGCCCCTCGTTTCGATGTACCATTTAAGTTGGCTGTGGACGCTTGTGATTCTGGTGTCGGAGCTGTCCTGCTCCAGGATGGTACTGATGGGGTGGAACATCCGGTTTCTTATTTTTCTAGGAAACTGGATAAGTATCAGAGATGGTATTCCACCATTGAGAAGGAGGCATTTGCGTTGATCCTTGCTTTAGAACATTTTGAGGTGTATGTTGGAGGTTCTAGCGGTTCTGTGGTTGTTTTTACGGACCATAATCCGTTAGTTTTTCTGGCTCGCATGCGGAATAAAAACTGCCGCTTGATGAACTGGTCTTTGCGACTCCAATCCTTTAACATCTCTATACAGCATGTTCGTGGTAAAGACAACGTAGTGGCCGACGCACTCTCGCGTCTCTAGTCCCGTTTTTTTTTCTCTGAATGGGTTGGGTTTTTTTTTACTTCAGACCCCATTCAGAGTCTTTGGGTGGGGGTGTTATGTGCCCCAGGCACATTATGATTTTTGTCCATTTCTTTTCTTTGTTTTCTTATAAACTTTAGTTGAAGGATCTTTTGTTAATATATTTTGGGATTCTTTAGCGAGTTAATTATGTTAATTTGTGGTGCTGTCGTCCGCCTATAAATAGGCTGGCCTTCAGCACGTTAACGCGTTCCTTTCGCGTTCCTTTCCAACCTCGTTTTTGGACGCCGCTTTCCACCTGCTCATTTGCTCCATCGTGCGCGGTGCGCACTTGTCTTGTCGCTGCGGCCTGCAGCGGACGTTCCAGCCTGCCATGTGGTATTTTTGTTAACTTTTTCTTACTTTTTTCTCGAGGTTTTGGCCTGGCGGGACCGGTAGTCCTGTTTTCGATTTTTCTTTTGCTTAGGTTATTTTTTGTCTTTATTTTGTATCAGTAGGGGCTTCGACGGCCCTGTATAGGGTTGGCCCCCTGCTGTACCGTTTTATTCTGTTTGATCGGCCTGCCAGGTCCAACTTTCTGTTGTTACTTTGGGTTTCTTTTTTTTCTTTTTTTGGGGCACGGGATTTGAGGGCCGTTAACTATTTTTCTCTTCGCAGAAAATCTGAAGAAGCCGAACCAAGAACAACTAAAACGGAGAGAATTTATTAATAAAATATCTTTTTTGAACCCTCATTTTTGTCTCGTGTCCTCAAATATGTTGTGTCCTTGGTGGGCGTAACACAGACAAACCGGCCACAACCAAACTTGCTTATGAACCTTCCACCACAACAATCCTGCCCTCTTGATAAATGACCAATCACATTCACTTTATTCAGTCGTGTAAAGATGGGCACCACTTGGGAGAATTCAGAAATTCAACGATTGGAACAGCCGCTTCCCTACGACTTTAAAGGTATAGAGGTGGATGCTGTTTTTCTGGGTGGATCATCTAAATAAGTGGTCATCCTAATTGTCGATCATTCTTGTGATATGTTTATGTAAGGCCGCTCTAAATACTCGTCCCCATTTTCCCTTACCGGTGATGAGTCTGACATAGTGGAAAAATTGCAAATCTTCTTTACCCACTCTCAGGAGTGGGTAAAGAAGAGTGTAGAGGGTGGTTCTTTAAAAAAAATCTCAAAAATCCTCCATTATACCTTGAACTCTGGCTTTAGTTTCCTAGTTGTTACCATCTGTCTGAAACTGACAACCCTGGGTATGACAGTCCAGTATTTGCTCTTTGGGAATGTTGATCCTTTGGTGGCAACAGTAGCCTTGTGCTCTTTGCTATTTCTATTTATTTATTTTTTTTCAATTAGGACTGGTCAGCTTTTAGATAGATTTAGCTAAATACAAGAATCATAAAGGGAAACTTTGTGAGGTCACACAATATTTGAGACAGGTAGAGGTTCATTTTTCAGCAGGACAACCTATCTAACAATACTGCCTGAGATTCAATGGAATACTTTAAGCATTTGCATTCTGTTAAAATGGCCCAGTCAAAGACCAGACCTACATCCCTACACGAATTTGTGGTACAACTTGAAAATGGCTGTTTACAGGTCTCAGCTATTTTTGCAAACTAGAATGGAAGGACATTTTAGTGATGTAGACAGTGCATAGCAGAAGATGGTTCTATGAATAACCGACTCAGGAGTAGATGAATACAAATCTATTCCACATTTTAAAATCTATATTTTTCTGCTTTATATTTGGTTAAACACAAAATATCAGTTTTTTTTTTATTGAAACAGAAAGTTCCTTGAATTTGTTTAGCATACTTTAACAAATCAATCTTGATGTTACCTCTAGATTTAACACCAAAGTTACTCAAGTTGCTCGTCTCCATTTCTTATGGCTTTACTGCGGGGTCCTGTAATGAAATGTATTACAGGTCAATGAGGAGGTCATCTTTGATCTTTGTTAAATTATGTTAGCCCTGAAAATTGTCTTATTTTCGTCATCAGGAGGAGTTCTATTTTTCGAAAGGATTTCTTAAAAAAAAAAAAAAAAAACATACGGTATTAAAAATACATGTACAGATCTGTTTAGGTTAGGAAGGGAAATAAATGAGCATTTTAACACAAACTGTTATTATTACTATGCCAAAAGGTTATGTAAGAGGTGTACCGTGTTAAGCAAAGGCTCCAGATGAGTGTGATCAAAAATAAGATGAAATGTTATATAAAAAAGGGTCAAGAATAATCAAAAGACAATTCCTTTTTTTGTTGTTTGTTCTATAACTAGCTGGATATTAACTTCAAATAAGTGTTGATAATATTTTTTTTCTTTGTAGATAAAATCAAGCAGAAAACTGTCAATTGCAAGAACTGAATATTTATTTTCATAATAAATTACAAAAACACATTAGTATGCTAATTACCTTATACTTTAATAAATACAAATCCACAAAAGACACAAAGCCAATACAAGATTTAATTAACTGAGTGATAACTTTTAAAGTTTCAAGTCATGTCCAAATACTTCAAGCAGGTCATTATGTGCTTTATTACTGCCTTAAGTCAGTTTTAATTAAATATTACAACCCAAAATACATTTATTCTGAAGTAAGTAGTTTCTTAGATGAAGATATATGGAAACTAACCAAGATTTATTTTACAGACACATCTCTAGTTGATCTACTCTTTATTCCAACATGATTTTCACATCCTTCTCCAAAATGTTCTTGAGTAATTTAGCAATCTTTCCCCGAGGTTTCTCGTCCCACAGCTTCTTCAATCCCCCGTTTGGTTTTGACGCAGGTGGGCTGCCCCATCTGAAGTGACTCATCTTGTAGGTCTCAGCTTTTCTCTCCGGCAGGCCTTGCGGTGTTTGGGACCTGAACCTGGGTCTGGACCGCAGCAGATGCAGGTTTTTACTGTTTCCTTTAACCATGCCATCCTTCGCTTCAGCCTTGTTCCAGCTCACTTGCCTGCGAGCCCGCAGGGGGAAGGCGTCTTCATCCACATCAGAGGGGAACACTTTGACAGGCCGTCGCTTGCGGCCCAAGGGCTTCCCCCAGCGGAAATGCTCCATGGCATAGGAGCGACGTTGATCATCGTGGGCGTCCAGATCGTCCTCTGCTGCTTTGTCTTTAGAAGCCAGAGTGGAGAGAATGATACTGAGCAACAGGTCATCCTTCTCATTATCTCTGGTTAGTTCAGAATCACCAAAACCATCCGAATCCTGCTGATCAGCTACGCCTAGTGGTTTGATTTCACTCTCGATTGAAGACGTGCAGAGGTGAAGACAGTCCTGTGGATGTAAGAAACCACACAATGAGCAGCAACATTTCAAAATAAAATTATCTTCTTTCTTTTAATCATGAGGACTTGCATGGCGCACCAAAGTTGTGGAACATTTTCCTTTCCTTTTCTTTGGTTTAGGTTTTCCATCTATATAGGGAGATAACTTGTCTGCTCACCCACCCACTCTTATTTTTAAGTATAGCATCCGGTTTTTTTTTCTTTTTTTAGTAATCGTATTATGGAAGAAGATTATGGTGATTTTAAAATTTTCTCTTTCAGTTAACTTTACCTCTTGATATAGGGAAAATTTCAGAATTTTGAAATGAAAGTAAGAATTCTGAGGAAAAGTCAGAATTCTGAGATTAGAGTCAGAATTCTGAGAAAAAAAGTCAGCATTTTGAGATTAAAGTCAGAACTTTGAGATTAAAGTCCGCATTATGGGATTAAAGTCAGAATTTTGAGATTAAAGTAAAAAAATTCAGAGAAAAAAAGGCAGAATTCAGAAAAAAGGTCAACATTCTGAGATTAAAGTTGAAATAAAATGTAAAAATCATTTTTTTCCCCCAGTGGCCCTAATCCTTTTCCGTATCTTCCTCTTTAGACCAGAACACAGCATTTCCTTTTTAGAAAACTTTCAAACTCTGCAGCACTGCTGTCTGCCACAGGCATGTGATTACGTTATGAAATCAGGGAAAAAAATCCAAATTATTTAAATATTCTGACTAAGTAACAGAGGGTGGCACTAAAACTCTGAGATTAATACTAATATTTATTTATTGCTTCAGAAAAAAAAAACAAGGAAAGTTTGTTAACTGCAGAGAGTGATCAGATTTTAGGACATAAAATAATACATTTGCTCCAATTGCTCATATCCCATTTTCCTGACCTGTTTCTATCTTTTCATAACCTGCTGGTTTTAACCAGGTATTGATTGACAAAGTTTATAAGATTTTAATCTTTTTTCTTTGAAGAATTTGTGCACAAAGCTTAACAGAAAAGGAAACAATTCGATATTATGTACTATAATTTATAATTAAACAATCTTCCCTTGTAACTTTTTGTTTAATAATGGTGGAAAAGCTTCATATTTTAAGATAATGTCAATAATATTCTGAAGAAGTTCATTCACTCGAAAAAAAAAATCCTGAAACGGTGAAACATAAAATACTAAGGAGACCCATTTTCTATGATTGTTCCAAATAATGATGCTATTATGTGTCATTATTCTGTCACAATGACAGAAAATGAGAGGAAATAAGTGACCAGGCACAGGAACTGATTTGACTTACCTGTATTTTGTCCTCGTCAGTCCTATCATTGCACGTAGAGCTTTCCAAACACACTGAACCAGACCCAGAGCTGCACATACATCCAATCAGAATCATAAAAAGCCAGCGCTGGTGCAACATCTTCTTATTGGAGACTTACTCAGAGCTGGAAAAAATATAAAAAAAAGCATTAACCCAAAGCTTTTATGAGTTCTGGAGATGTTTGTGACCCAGTAGAATTAAATCCTCACTTGATCACAGAGCGGGGGACCCTGCTGGTTGTTAGAAGTCTTTTGATCCTTACACTTGTGAAACATCACTGCCTTATATAACAATTTGCTTCAATGCAATCTTTGACATGAAATGATTTGCATGTGTCATGGTTGAGTAATGGCTGAGCTCAAATACCAGCGGTTATCATTCCTGCTGGAGCCATCACTGCACACGCTTTAGCAGATGGTCATGTTTACAATGTGCATCTCATTCAAACCGACTTATTGAAAGCAGAAACGTGACATCAGAAGATTTAGCAGTAGAGATTCTGCTTTTTTTCTTTGGTATCCTGAATTACCAAGCTTTCAGGTCAGCAAATTAATAATATATAATTATTATATATAAAACTGATTACAGATTCCCGCCCCAAGTGATTTGAAAAAAAATATTTGGGGGAAAATCTCTAAAACTGTCCAAATGATCGATCTGCTGTTTTTGTTTTGTATTGCGCAAAATAGAACTTTTTGGCTGATAGGCCAGCTATTTTTATCTTTTTGTGTAGATACAGCAGAACAGATTCACACGCAATGTAGTTCTATCTTTGACCTTCAACCTTAAGGCCTGAGTAGGGATCCTGTCTTCATTGATGAGTTAGTTGTTCACATTTAGTCATGAGGCTAAGGTGATAACAGGAGCGGTAACTTGCTGTCACAAGGTCTATTATAAGAACCTAGAAAGAGAAACGAATATCACGGTTGCTTAGAGCCACTGATACACATGTTGTGATTGGTGTCTATTCACCAATCACAAGCTTCCACCAAGCTTTGTGATATTTTTTTCCACAACAATCTGGCATCTGCATGCAAAAAGACAACATAGACCCAATGGCTCACTAGCCTTAAGAGATTAATGTATTAACCCTTTTTTTTCTCTGTGTCTCTGCATCCTGTTGCCCAAGCGTGACCATTCTCATGTTTGATCTAGCATGTGTGTAACTAACTTGACTGTTTCTCCAATTAACCCAGCTGTGTTTTCTGGCCCCATACTGGTATAGAATAAAGCTTTTCACAGCTTCTTACATGGCTTGATGGCTGTTAAGCTACTTTCTGACTTGGTTTTACTGCTGATGCCACATTTCTTTCTGTAATGGCACAAATTAGCTAAATGTTGCCCTGTAACAGCATTGTCTTTAATACAAGATTTGCCTATATAAAAAATCTTGAAATCTTTGAAATTTTTTTGGGCATATTGAATTGGCCTGTCAATCACCCATACAATAACTCTGTCGACTTCCTGTCACCTCAGGGCGTAGCTGTGATGTGCCCAGAGCTCTCCTATATTTCAGTATTGCAGAGGAGCTAATGTAAATATGCAACTTTTAACGAGGGACAATAGGCAAAGATTTTTGCACCCTAGGGCGGAAATGCGTCCCCAATCCGGCAAAAAATGCAATGATGCTTTGCTCATCATTAAAGATTAAATATTTTTTTTGCACATCTAAAAATATATATATCAGTATATTTCGAAATATTTTTATCCATGTATTTTATAAAATATAAATTTTATAATTAATTTTAATTAGTTTTTTTTATGTCATAATCAAGGTAATTGAGCGCCCTCTACTGGCTAGCCGCCACTGGCTGATTCCCATCTCTGTCCATGGTAGCTATACCCATATCTCTCACCTCCACTACTGTTTGTGATGTGGTTATGCAGTTTTTTTTTATCTGCAGAGACGCTTGAGTCCGGGAGGTTTTGAGTTTAAGACCCACAGACTCCCATGGACTGCCATTCTGGGTCTTTGAGCAAGACCCTTAACCCCAGGCTGCTCCCCGGGCGCTGCACAATGGCAGCCCACTACTCCCAAAGGGGATGAGTTAAATACAGAGAGTGAATTTCTCCACTGTGGGACAATAAAGGATTGACATTAGATTTTCTGGAGCTTTACCGCCAAAGTGGCTGTAGTACCAGCACTAACAGGTACTAACCAGAGGAAAGAAATGTGGTGAAAGAGACCACCAGCGAGTTTAAATTGGACGCCATCTAGTGGCACCTTCACTGTGTGCGGCTGTTGGTTTCTGATATCCATATTCTCACCTGGAGCCCCTGCTCCCATTTAAAGAGATATGAGTTTGACTGCCATGATGAACATGACAGCCTTTGATATCAAATGGTTCTGCTCTTGGTAAAGATAGATGCAAGCTCTTATGCCTGTGCAATGATGCCACATGCTACTCCTACACTGCTCTCTCATCTCAGGGTCTCATGGTGATGTCATAATGTCCACACAACTCAAGTCTAATTCTGACACAGATGATTTTTATGATGATTTCAAAACCATCTCACGTTTCTGCTTCTTCAATCAGTGTTGTTCAAGGTCCACTGACAATAACCTCTAAAAGAAACTAATGTAAAATAATACTCTCAGCCATATATAATATTAATGTCATAATTTGGAATTGATAGAACAATGAAAACTTCTCTGAGTCAGAAAATCCTCAAGGAAAATCGGTGGAAATTAACACGACAAAGCAAACCAGCAAATCTTTCTGTTTGACTCAAAAAACTCAAAGTATGTTTTAGAAAGTTCTATTGGTGGCAATAAAGCTTTTACATAGAATAAGGATGATTTAAATATGTGTTTTTTTTAATTAAAGGAATTTTTTAGTTGAAAATTGAGTGATATATATATATATATTTTTGCTGTCTTTATCTTAAATTAAAAGTTCTATTATGATTGTGGTTATGATGGTGAAAACATTGTAAGTTAAGAACCAGTGCTTGCCACCAAGACACACTTTATGATGATATCCTAAACCACGTCTATGCAAAATACTACAATAATAGATTTAATAGACATAAATTGTATTTCAGTGCAGATTTGTCCAGGGTGTACCCAGCCTCTTGCTTGTAGACAGCTGGAGATAGCGTGATAGATGGATGGATGGATGGATGGATGGATGGATGTATTTAGGTGCAGGTGAGTTGTTTCCAAAAAAAACCCCCAAAAAACTTTGGCTTAAAACTTGCCAAATGTTCAATAATTGATAATGTATCTCTCTACAGGAGCAAAGTTAATGGTAAACATCTGGGTTCTGTTTTCTAATTGCTAAAAATAAAGTGTTCACATGAAAAGCCTTGCTTTTTCCTGTGCTAAAACAATGCAACTTTTTGTCTGAGGAGCTCAAAGGTACAACCTTTTTAAAATTAGACAATTCCAAAATACCAATATTAAAGCAGTCCTGGTTAACCAGTGAGTTAAAAGATATCAAAATTAAAATGTTAAACTAACTACGAGTATCTTTTTTTTTTTTTTTTACTTGATTCTAACCCTTTCCTTCTTTACTCTCTATCGTGGCACAATAAGAAAATTGTTTCATCTTTTTTTTTAAAGTAGTTGCTTGCTGTTCTTTCAAACATGGCTATTAATTGCCATACCTTAATTTGAACAATTACAAGCTTAAGATTTGTATGCAATTCCACGTATTTGATGCAGTAAGCTAAAGAGATGCTTTACAGGTTTACAGTTGTCTTTCCCCACTTTATTCTTTGGAGACTTTTTTTTTTTAAAGGGTATGAGATCATATTTGTTGAAGTGTAGAATTTGACCAGAAATGTGTTCATTCTTAAACTTAAAGCTTTTTCCAAAGGTTTTTAAACGTTCATTGTGGGCGATTTAGGCACAAGTATGTGAGATTAAACCTTTTTTCAAAGGGGAGAAGAATCTGTCTCCTGTTGCGTCTCTCCTGCCTGCTCTGTTATTGTGACTCCTTGGTGGGCTTTTGTTTTTGTAACACTTGCAGAGACTCATCTCTTCCTACAGCATGACTCACTCTGCTGAGATCTGCACAGATGTACGCACTTTGATATGAAGATCTTACATAGATGCAGTGAAAATGAAACATGTATCTACATTTACTGACCTTACATCTAGTACTAAATGAGCCAAACTGACATTAAACTCTACCACACGTGCATAAATACGCTTTAAGGTACTGCAAAGATGTTTGTCATTATATTTTTAACAATGCATTAATCAGTACTATTTAAATTATAGTAGAAGTTTTTTTTTACCTTTTCCAAAATGCTTGTCCTCTCTTCTTGTTTCTTGTTCTGCCTTTCCTCCACAGATCCTGCAGACTTCCACTCACTCTCCGCCTCTCAAGCTTTTTCCCAATATGAAAGCTCTTTTTATATTTGCAGGAATTAGAGTGTGTTGAGTCTCAAGTCCTCTGGGTGTGACTGAGGTGCAGCGTCAACTTCTCTGCTCCAAACAGGGAGGAGTGTGTGATTTTGTGTGATTTTGTGCATGGCCACCCACATGGCTCCTGATCGATATCGCAAGGTTTGTGCATCTGAGGATAAAAAAGAATACAAGCATGAGGACACAACTTAACTCATTGTGCTCTTTAACTTTTCTATTTTTTAGTGCATTTCTAAAAAAACCTCCAACATGTGTTTATTGCGACCTTTTCTCTTCTTTTAGATTAATTCCTGGAATTAAAGTTCCTCATATCATATGACCATTAAAACAGAAGCTTTTTTGTCTGTAAACCCTGGCAGGTCTGAATCCCTTACAGGGGGTTTCTTATTGTTCACTTAGAACACCAACAAGGATGCTTATAAAGTCAATATGACCGATTCAGTCGTTTTCTTGTTGGTTATTTTCTGGGAAGTAGTACGTGCTTCCCTGTGCGGAAACTTCATTATAAGGACCTGAGTCACCAGCAGACGTCATAGGAGAAGAAAACACACAAAGACAGAAACACACAGACACAGGGATAAAGGGAGAAGGTGTGATGAAGAAAACGTATCCCTTTCACCTGCTCTTAGTGGAGTTTTATACTCTCACCTGTGACAGTGTTCAGTTTTTCCCCAAGGACAAACCACATAGAGAGAGAGAGGTCTGGGTTTGACATAGAAAGAAGACATGTGCTTGCAAATAAGGGTAGAAAATGCAATTCCACCCTGTTTTGTCCTTAAAAATGTCAATTAATCCTTCCCTCTACTTGTTAATTTGTCCTTCAAAGCCTCTGACCAAAATAATTTCCATTCCTTGTATTGGAAATCTTGTATTTCACATAATTTCCTTAAGTTTCCTAAAGATTAACATTTGGGACTTCATATTGTTTTTGCATTAATAAAACCTTAAAAATGGTTAGGGTTAGGCTTATTCCTGTTGCTGTTGTGTCCAAGCAAAACTCTAAATATATCAAGACCCCAAATTTGAATAATTAAAGTGGCATTTATTGGTAAAAACATAGGGGGAAAAAAAGAGATTTTTATGATTTTTCAAAGAAATTAAACTTGCCTTCTTTAGGGACAACACCAGAAAATGTTGAAAGGGTAGCTGAGGTAAAATAGGGTGAAATACATTGGGTGAAATGTACAAATTCAGTTTTTCAGTTTTGCATTTGTTATTTATCATGCCTGTTATTTACTCACATTGACTGCATTCTTCTTACATTTAGCAGAACAAACACACACACACAACATTTATTTATATATATATATATATATATATATATATATATATATATATATATATATATATTCTACACCGAAAGAAGGCAAGACTATCTTCAAAAAAACTCTCTACATGCCCAATGTGCCATGGTGATGATATCAACATAGGATCTACAGCAGGTCAAGGCCTAGATAGACCCTAAGTAAAAATAAGAATGCAAATATTACCAACCTAAATATTTTCTTCAGGTTACATTGAGCAAAGCGTACATTTTGTTTCTCCAACTTTCCTCTGGACATCAGTTTAATGTCTTTAAAAGGTCCTGGTCCCATCTGACTTGATTGTCAAATCACCCTAGTAGTCTGATGAATTACCAATTATTTAGAGTTATATTCTATTTCTTCAGCATTTTTCTTTTTCAGTGTTTTTGTCTTGGATTTGTTCTTTTGTGTTTTGGAGTAGGGCTGCATGATATGAGTAAAACCTGTTACAACAGGGCTTAACATTGTAATAATATCTGTCGTAATATATGATTAAATACTTACTGTGCATCTGTAAATATTTCACATCTCTTCACATTTTCTATATCTTATGTTACAGCCTTCTTTTGGTTTATATTGAATTATTCTGTTTTTTCCGTGAAATGCTGGTTATACTTTTCACCCTAAGTATGCAGTGCTTATCATTATAGAGCATGTTTGGTACATCTGTGCATTGGTGACATGGAATAAGGAATTCCATTATGGTATCTCTGATCTAGCCTGGGCAGCCAGATTGATTTATGATCTGAGACAGCGTAATTCAGCCTGGATGGCCAGGCTATCTCTCTTTACGACTGACTAAGCCCTTGTATCCATGGGCATCACGTCTGTCATCAAGCAATGTTTCATGGCCGTCATTATTTATGTGAACCATTTTGATGCTTTGTCACATGCAAGACTCTAACACCCAGCCAACTGTAGCACCAAACTATGGTGGGAAGAAGTTTTCACATTGGGCTGTTTTATATGTTGATGGTTGAACTCCTCTGAGCAGGAAGGCAGGTGGGCTGCACTACTAGGTGGGCTTTGTGCCTGAAGAAGAAATGGTCTTAAGGAGTTTAACAAGTTCATCACTCTTGCTACTATCCATTCCCCTTACTTGTCTCACTGACAGAAAGTGTTGGGAATGTAGGAATATGTTGCAAGAAATGTAGAAAAATAGAAGCTGGACCATGAAAACACAAACCTACTCTAAAGGTGCGTCCAGAACCTGCTCTGCTCACAGTATGTGCACTGTTAGTCAGAATATCTGGAAGCCTTTAGCTATACTAATGTCTGCAGCTTCTATCTGGCTAGTACTTCCTGATTTCTTTGATTTCTTCATACAGTTCTTTGTTGTTGTACTTAAACAAGTTGATCAGGTGACACCAAGCATGCTAATCAGAAATATATGTGTATCATTTAGCAAATAGCAAATAGGAAACCTGGCGGCTCAAAAATACCTAGAAAAATTAACATTAAACAAAAAAAAAAGATCCAAAACACATATAAAGCTCTACAAAATGTGATACAGATCATGTTTCCTCTATGCCAGTTCATTGGTTTGTTGTTTAAATAAGTAAAACAGCACCATTATCGGTTTTGTTTCCCATAGGGCATGAACCAGGACATGTTTCGATGAGGTCACTACACAGCGTGAAAGCATGAATGAATTAGCTTCTGAGATGTACACCAAGTTAGTGCGGTGTCTGTGGCATTTGCACACAGCCTTTTCCATGCAGCCCTGTCGAAGCCTTTGCATTCACACATTCGATTTTTTTCAATCGTTGCACGCAGCTTCAGCTCATACTTTACGATAATGGAGATTAGTTGTGCTTCCTCTCATGGTTGCTTCAAGCGCTTAGCATGTCTTGTAGAGTACCTGTATTTCTAGAACACTGTCTCTCTTTAAACCAAAATATCACAAAATTAAAGGGTGTACTGATTGTCATCAACAGTTTACTTTGTTGCTGTCAGCCACTGCGACTCTCAATAAACTTTTTGCTATATCTTTGCTGTCTATCCAAAACTGTCAAGGGGACTGGCACCTAATGATCAATCCAACTGGCATGTTGCCTTAAGTGAAACGGTTGCCCCTGCAGGAGCACCCTCTGTTAATGTTACCAGGATTTGTGTTAAAAAAGCATAGAGTACATGGGAATTTTGTTTAAAAAACATGTCATGAAAGGCTAAATATGTCATTTAGAGACACTTTACCTGAAGTATTTAGAGGACACAGCACAGGTAATTATATTTACAAAACCAAAAAAGTCTGGGAAGATAGAAAATATGAACAAAAGCTTGCTACCAATGGCATTTGGTTGTGCGTTTGTATGAAGATAGCAATTATTTTTTTGGTCATTGTTTGCTTTTGTTTAGCTTGAAAAGAAGAAAGAATCCCATCAAAGATCTAATTTCACCTGAAGGGGGTAACACTACTTGTAAGGGGCAGGATATCCTGACTATTTTTTTTTATCTTTTAGGGTGTTGCAGTTAAAGCAGATCTGTTAAGTAAAGGATTGGCCTTTTTCCATTGCTATTGCCAAACTGCAGCTCACCTCATATCATATCAAATACCTCCACCAAAATCAGCTTCATGTCAACGCCAGAAATGGACAAAGCTTTTACAAGACTTAAGAAAAACTTTTCTACAGCTCTAGTGCTGGTCCATCCCGACCAATGGCATAACGACACAACAAATAGGCCCGTAAACAACACTATCTGGGTGGGCCCCATATAAAGAACTGCCGACCCCAAAATGTGCCCCATACATACTGACTTCATCTTCTTTAGTATATTCTACTGTAAAATGAGTCTTATTGGGCTACCTTGACTTCCACAGCTCCCCTCCTAACCCATGCTCTCTCCATTCATCTTCTGCTTGTAATCTTTACTCCCTGTAGCTGCAGCAACGTCCTCCTCTCCCTCTTTGGATCTTTGAAAGAACGTGTTTATTTTGGGAGTTTTTTTCTGTTCTTCCAGCAGCTCTTCTTTGCTTTTTCTTTTCTGGAATCCGCTTAAGTACCTCTTTTTTGGTATCCATCGTCGCTTACACATTGTACGTAACGGTTATTGTTTTAAACTGCGCTCTTGATTACCCATAATTCCAAGTTGAATTGTAAAAAAATAAAATACTCAAATACATCGTACTTTTAAGATCTTTATTGCGGTTTGAAACATATTATATGAGTGTATTTTTTACCAACCGTCTAATTAACTATACACAGTTAACATAATAATTAAAAGTACTACTGTCTGCTTTGCTATTCGTGTTGTTTAAACGGCTCACCATCATGTTGAAATCTGCCGTGTCTTGGGGTATGAATAAGGTCCGGTCAATTAATCTAGTTTCAAGTGGGTTTAAGAGGACCATTACATTTGCAAAGAGATGTCCTAGTCCACAATTTGTGTAGGGGGCCATCCAGGTGTCAGTGACAGAGCCCCTAAGAGGTTGGGGGCCCCTAAGCAAATGCAGTCTCTGCTTAACGATAGTTACTCCATTGTTTTGACCCCTGTAAGTAGTTAATCTTGGAGGATGATGCTTTAAATGCAGGTATGTGCCAATCCATCACAGTGCTCCAACCGAGACTGCAAACCTCATCCCCATGCTTTATATTTTCACATTCTCTCTGCTTAGAGAGCACTTTCAATGTGAGACCCTTAAAAAGAGGTTGGAGGGGGCTTTTAACTGACTAAAATAATCTTACTTACCTGCAATCTTCTAAGTTCCCTATCAGTCCTGGTGGTAATTATTCTTCTCCACATTTAA